AGTTTATGATAGATTAGATTAGACTAGTAGATAGGTAGGTAAGTAGATAGATAGATAGATAGATAGATAGATAGATAGATAGATAGATAGATAGATAGATAGATAATTGGTAGATGAATGCTTTGATTGATCTCAGAATAAATATATGGAATGTATTCAAAATAGCTCTTTAAAATGCAGTTGGCTTCATATTCAACCCACTGGTAAGCCTAGAAAGAAAGCAGTCATCCATAAATATGATCAGATTCATCCAATCCATGACACAGAGGGTGGGCCTGGAAGAGCCTGTAGTTCTAGCAATTTTAATCTGACTTTAACTGGATATTTTTAATTTTCTTTTTAAAACCTAGTGCTATTATTCCTATAATTCCTATCATGAATTCTGGGGTGGGGGGGAGACTACAAATTAACATAAACAGATGCAAATTGCCTGACAGTATCTGGTGTGCATGGAAGGCAGAAAACTCCTGGAAACCCAGCCCAGACTTTTGTACATAGTTTACAAACTGCAATTTTTGATCTCTATGAGAACTGAACATCAGCACCTTCATTTTCTGTTGCAAGTAATGACAAAGATGATAAACAAACCCCTAAACATGAGTATCCATTATATAGTTTAAATTAAAATTAAATGATCTGTTAAAAGTATAAGATAAAATAGCAAAAGAGGTGTTCCTGGCATGCATTGCGTCAAGTTGCCACCTCATTCCATATACAGAATGAAAGAAGTGCATAAACAATTTACTGCTATGACTTTGGCTCTGTTCTCCCAATTGCTTACAAGTCAGCATTTTGCTTTTTCCATCCCTTGTACCCATTGTCATTGTAATAGGGGAACCATTTGAGCTGCTGAAGCTCATGTCAATGACATCACCTCAAGAGAAAACTGGAAGTGTTCATACTTGATTAGATTGCCTCGTAACAATACTGTTGGCCAACCTTGGAAACATTTTTAATTGCCCTAGCACTTGAAAAGATAAAGGCCTTGGGAGGACTGATTGTTTATGCGACACTTGAAAGATGGAAGGGAAGAGATTTTGAAGAGAAATGCCATTGCACCTTTCCCTTTGTAACATTGTGGGGGGGGGGGAATCTTTCCAAAGCTGTCCAGATAAGATGATTTATCAAAAGCGGCTAACAGCACAGACAACTTGTCTGCTTCTCCTGACACATGCACCACCAAGATTGAGAACTAAGATAAACATTATTATCAGACCAAAGAGAAAGCAAGTATCATTTCCCCTACCAGTTTAAGAAAGAAAGGATGTCAAAAAATCTTTAAACAGATACAATCTAGAGTGGTTGAATTTCAGTGAAAGGTCAAAGGGCATTGTGCCAAAAATGGCATAACCTTTCAGAATATTGGAGCAATGAGGCAGATAAAAGTTAACAGTATTTTCAAATACAAATTTGCAGTGTGTTCCTGTCACAGCTGTAATAGCATGCCTGGTTTGAACAATCTGCTACAAAATCAGTCTGCTGCATTAAAGACATTAAACACCCTTTCTTTCTTTTTGTACATCAAAACAAAGTCTCTTCCTGTGACACAAACAAAGTGCTTGTTGATCCGAGCAACCTAATCCAGAGTTTTAAATATGCATGTGAAGTTGTCTGCCCTACTTTACAGAGGAGGGGCCTTAATTTTAAGGGCTATCAGAGGATGATATTTGTTTCAAAGCAAGTTCTGTTCAAAGCAGCATCCAGTCCAAGTAGAGTTAAAAGGGGAGGAAAGCATAATAATGGAGTGCTTGAAATTGCAGTCCAAAACCAAGCAGATGTTATGCAGGTATAGAGAGCACCTAGCTACAGTCTTTTCCATTATGGTAAAATGTATTTCTGCTTAAATTATAGCATTTTTTTTCTAAATTTGCATCTCTGGAAGTGCATTGACATATGAAAATTGTATTTTGTCTTCTTTTTGGTGATGCCATTTCTCTTTTGGAGTGATGTAACAATGACCACTGCATGTTATAGAAGTAATTCTTGAATATTTTTTTTCCTCAAAGGAGGGAACCATTAATTTTAGTCAATTTCTTCCAACTGAGGGAAAACTGCACAGGTTCCAAAGAATGTGTGTAGTTAGAGACTAATTCTGCACAAAATTCACATGGTACATTTGCATAGAAAACAGCATTTTCTGTACAGAAAACAGTATTTTATGCACCGAAAATAATATTTCAGTCTGGAAAAAATTAGTAGTTGGTGATTTTTTTTCTATGTAAAGTCAACAAGTGGAATTTTTGCACAGAAAATAGCATAATATTTGATAACATTGGCCAGAATCTTGTTGGGGTCTTCATAAGTGAACTTACTGGAATTTGAATTGGGCATTTCCATAACATCTCTATCCAGTAAATGTCTTCTGTAACATTTTACATAGAGGAGCCAGCAAAGTGACCGAGGTGCATTGGGACCAAAGCACATTGAGGGTGATGTGCATTGGGGCTCATTTGTTTCAGTCCTCTTGCCCATCAGTCTTGTTGTGCACCAGGAACATTGTGCATTTGGACACTGGCTAGGGAGTATCAAAGCACTCTTGCCAGTGACCCATCTTTCACTAACAGGATTATTAAACACCTCTTCTATGTAGATACATAATCCTGATTTTATGTAGCATACACTGTGATAGAATATTCCAGCCATTTATTCTCTGTCTGTCAGTCTGTCTGTCTGTCTATCTATCTATCTATCTATCTAGGACAAAAGCATCATGTGCAGTTTTGTGCAGAATATTTCCTGAACTGCAGATTCTCTTTAGATCAGGAATCTCCTTGTTAGGGTTTCTTGACACTCAGGAAAGAGGTTATTAAATATTTTTTTCAAATATTTTGAAATATCCTTTCCATCCCTACTGCATACACACATTATGGTTTTCCGCCACTACACTGCTCTGTTAAATTCAATGGTGGTGGAACTACAAATACAGAAAAGGACCTAAATATCAATCTGTAGCCTTTTTCCTGAAGCAGAGTTCCTGCTTAAAAAGTCAATAGTAAATCTTCATAATAATAACTATTTTTTTTTAAAGATAGTTAAAAACCCTAGATTGCAACCCAAATAAATAAGTAGGATCTAAGGATGTAAATTCTGATCACAGACATTTTTGCAAGATAAGGATGATAGCACAAAATATTTTCTCATCACAAGAAGATGGTGACATTTTTCTTTTTTAAATCCCAAAGAAGTTTTACACATTTCTGAGAACAGTTTTGGTGCATTACTATAAATTTTGTAAAATTGGAAAATGCAGTAACCATTGTCTTTTATGGATGAGTAAAAGTAGGAGCATGGGATTTTTTATTTATTTTATTTATTTATTTGTGATCAATCTGCCTGTCTTTTAGTGTTCACTGTGTGGGTGTGCTTCTTTTATCAAAGAGAAGAGGAACACATTTTTCATAGAGACATTTTCTGCAAAATAGAGAAACAGCCCCTCCCGCATAACTTAGTTCTTGCAGGCTATCTTGGCTGTTTTGACCAAAATTTTGGAAATGTTGATGTTCCTCCACCCAGATTCCTACTAGTCTTTAAAAAAAAACGCCCCCACCATACTTGATGAGCATACTTGATATTCTGTCCTATAAATGGTGCAAGTACATGGGTTATGAATTAGTATCCAACTGAATGTAAAGAACATTAACACATACAATAGCTTTGTCTACATATGTAAAATATTGAATTACTGTATTTACTGTTTTATCACATGCAAACATGATTTCCTCCTTTATGTACATTTTGAGGAGAGGCTTACAATTGGATTTTGCTGCTGTTTCTGGTTTCTGCTCAGTTCCTATTTCATAGGTCCATTAAATTAATTGCCAAAGCAAAGAGATAGAAGTCAAAGGAAAGGGAAATTAAATGTTCTTTGGATTTTTGTTAAGAAATTCTCTATTTGCTTTAAAACACCCTAAATCTTAATTAAAATCTCAGGATATAACATGAGTATTTTAATGGCCTCTCCTGAGACTGCTTTCAGAATGCCATCTAAAGCTTCATGAGACACTATCCTTGTCTCCTTGTCTGTAATGTACAATCACAATAATCAGGGTCTGAAAGATGCCAAAGATAGCATAGGTATATGAAGCTGTTATGTCCAGTATCAAAAACAATCATTTCTTTGTCTTAAGTTAATTTAATAATAATAATAAAAATAATAATAGCAGCAGCAGCAGTAACATTTATTTATAACACTCTTTCCACCAAAAGATCAAATATCAAACATATACTGTCAGATACATTAAAACATAACAATATATATGAAACCCCCAACATCCAACCAGCCACCCCATCAGCTACAGGTAGAGCTCAGCAGCACAATCCAGTGAATCAAAGAGAAAAGTCTTCAACCATTTATGAAAATGGATGAGATCCTCCTCCACCAGGAAGGAAGGAAGGAATATTGTTCCACAGATGTGGAGCCAAATCTTGGAAGGTTCTCATTCTTGACAGAGCTGTGCATGTCAGTGAAACAGATAATGATCCTTTGCCTGTAGATCTTAAATTCCTAGATGGTGTAAACCATGCTAGCAGAACTGACAGGTACTGGGAGTGCTTAAAGTATAGAGGCCTGATACAAAGACCAAAAGTTTGAAATTGGCCCTAGCCCAAACCAGTAGTCTGTAAAGGGATCTATTGGTTGGGAAAGAAACATGTAAATATATAGGGAGATTTAAATTTTCCATTGATTTGGATGTGTTTGCTCTACAGAAGACTAGTCTAGGTCCAAAGCGTTAAAAAAAATTCCATAAAGACTAAGAGGGTGGTGCCACACATACAATCCAAAGGCATTACAAGCACTGGTTTTTTTTTCCTCTCATGAAGTGAAATAGACTTTCAAGTTGTTGTTGTTGTATGCCTTCAAGTCATTTCAAACTTAAGGTGATCCCAAGGCAAACCTATTACAAAGGTTTCTTAGCAAGATTTGTTCAGGTGGGGTTGCCTTTGCCTTCCTCTCTGGCTGAGAGGATAAGACTTGTCCAAGGTCATCCTGTGGGCTTCCATGGCTGAGCAGGGAATTGAACCTTGGTCTCCAGGGTTTTAATCCAACATCCAAACCACTACACCAGGAGCCCTGGTGGTGCAGTGGTTAAATGCCTGTACTATAGCCACTCACTCATAGACCACAAGGTTGCGAACTCAATACTAGCCAGGGCTTAGGCTAGACTCAGGCCTGCATCCTTCCAAGGTTGCTAAAATGGGTACCCAACTGTTGGGGGGCAATGAGCTTACAGTTGTAAACCGCTTAGACACCCCATAGCATGGTATGAAGCGGTATATAAATGAAGCTGCTTTTACACCACACTGGCTCTTGACTTTCAGGTTCCACAATTTAAAAATAAATAAAACAACAGCATAGATTTTCCATAAATTGTGATTTTAAAAAAAATAATTGAAATGTGGAAGAAAACAAAGCTTTCACACTCATATATATCTAGTTCTAGGCAGATAAATCATTCAACAGAGTAATTCAGTTCTTGGGAAATGTAATATGGGAAAAATGCCCCCAGAGACTCCAGACAGTAGCCAGAGTGAAGGATAGAGTATAATTCTAATGTACTAGCAGGCATTTACCTCTTCTGTCATCTAAAACAAGGATTTACAAAGTTTAATTCATTGATTCCACATGCTAATCTGGCCCTCCTCTATCAATGAAGTGGAAGCAGGGGGGAAGAGAAAAAAGAAAGATCATTTAATAGGTGTTAAGTCTAGCTTGAGATGTTTAATTTCAGTTTCATTAACTGTGCCATCTGTTTTATCTCAAAAGCACAGAGTAGTGGCAGATGGAGATCTTGCACTTTTAGTCCATGCTGTTAAAGGCAGAGCCATTTACTAATAAAGTTAATGCCAGCCATGATTTAATTAAGGATGTGGCCCTTGACGTTGTCAATCTGATTGGGAATCAGGTGACCTTCAGTGGTTCCACATTTCCACATGGAGGATAACAAGATCAGCCAGATAATGCAATCATATTGTTTATATGTGTGGGCTGGCTGCGAATTTACATGCATATAGCCAGGTTGATGCAAGCAGACTCCTTGTCCCATTTGCCACATGGCAATCCTTCCATAGCTCTGAAAAGGCTAGACAGAGAACCAGTGGTTTGTACATTGGATTACAACTCTGGAGAAGAGGGTTTCACCAGGGAGTCCAGCTCAGCCATGAAACCAACTGGATGATCTTGGGCAAGTTGCACTCTCTTGGCCTCAGAAAATGGCAATGGCAAAAACCCTCAGAAGAAACTTGCCAAGAAAACCCTATATAGGTTCACCTTAGGGTTGCCATAAGTCAGAAAGTACTTGAAGGCACACAACAACAACAACAACTCAGAGTGAGATGAAGAGCACAGAGGAGAAGGAAGGTTATGTTACATTGGCTGGAAGCTTCCAAAAGTTGTAGGTTTTTTTAAAAAACAAAACAACAACCACTTTTCCCAAGCTCTGAGACATATTTTGTATGTAGACTGCAGCAAGCAATTGTGGAGGGACATAGAAATAATTTTTACCCCTGCAGCAGAATGACACAAACTAGTCAAAGACCACCAGAAAACAAAAACAAGCATAACTTTATATGTCTATTTTTCACAATTTTTAGCAGATTTTCTATATCTTGGGAAGGGATGCTTTAGAAGGCATCTGCCAATCTCTGAGGCTCCAGTGTTTTTGGTTTTTTTACCATTTTACTGTGTTCCTCACAATTTTGGGGGGAGGAACAGAACGATTAGATGCTCTAAATATACTAAAGGTACCAAATTCTGTCTGAACTTTGAAGCTGAGCAGCACCAGTACCTGTATTTGGCTAGTACTTGGATGGGATTCCACCAACAAATAACAGGTGTTGTAGGCTATATTTCAGAGGAAGGAGATGGCAAAACCACCTCTGAGTAATACTTGGCTAAGAAAAGCATATGAAATTAATGGGGTTACCATATTGACAGGAAACTTGAAGGTGTGCACATGCACATACACACACACACACACACACAAATGCATAGAGATGACTGGGGGTTGGGGGCTCACATGAAGCTACTGGGGCCACCATGATTCATGCTGGATGAGACCAAATGCTTATTGGCAAATTAAATTTACACTGTAACTGTATAGTTCAAGGGTAGGTAACCTTTTTGAGCTGGGGGCCAGGTTGCTGTCCCTCAGGCAATTAGGGGGCTGAAGCACTAAATAAATAAATAAATAAATAAATAAATATTTTTTTAAAAAAAATTAAAAAATATGCATGCACACTCTCTTAGCCCCAGAAAAGCCATGGCAAAACCACTGTGGAGATTTTGCCAAGAAGACCCCAAGAACAAGTAATAACAACAATAATCAATATCATCATGGCAGGCGGTGGCGGCAGCGGTGGGGGGCAGTGGCCGGACCAGCCTGGGGCCAGTCCAAAGGCTTCAGGGGTCCGCATCCAGCCCCCGGGCCTTAGGTTGCCTACCCCTGGTATAGTTGTTTCCATATTTGTGACAATGTTTCATTATTTCTAGAGAGAATTTCAGAAGTAAATTTGATGCTTTCATGTACAGTTCCAGCTAACATAATAGTTCAAATGGACCCAAGTTATCATCCTCTCTTATTTCCCCTCTCCCATTAGTGGTTCCAAATACATTTTACTCTGTGACATTTTAGGCCTATATGTAATTCTGTTCCCAACTGGAATAGACCTAGGACGTTTTCACACTAGGGGTCTCAAAGCCGCCTGGAAGCAATCAAGAATCATTCTGGAATGGATCCTGTAGCTTCAGACCGGTGAAAGCAGCATCATTCTGGAATGGTTCTTGATTGCTTCTGGCCGCGGCAACTCAATTCCTCTTTAAAAGAGGAATTGAAAAGAACGGGGATGATGCAGAAATGCGCCGGGGATGGGACAGGATGGGGCGGGGTGGGGCGGGGCTTGCTGCGACGTCGTGTGAACACACAGAGAAAGGACCAGGAATGATGCAGGATTGCGCCAGGGATGGCACTGGATGGGGCGGGGCTTGCTGCGACGTTGTGTGAAAAATTGGCAAAGGATCCGGACTGGGGCTGAAGTGAAATAGGATTGCGTCTGCCTTAAGCCCCGTGTGAAAACGTCCCTATTGAATTACTTGTTGAATGGTGAGTCAACACTTACCTAAATTCCACTAATTCAGTGAGTCAGATCTAGTTGGAAATATCAAAATTATTCACATCTTATTGCTTCAACAAACCCTGTGCTTGTTTAGGATTCTTAATTGAATAAGAAGAGCTCTTAAAAATCCTGTTGGATCACACCAAAGGCTCATCTAGTCTAGATACCTAGGGGAAACCCACATGTAGGACTTGAGTACAAAATTATTCTTTTGCTCGTGTTTCCCAGCAAATACTATATATACATATTGCCTCTGATCTTGGAGGTAGCATATCATAGGGACAGAAAGAATATTCATTTTTTTTTAAAAAAAAAGTTGAAAACTATGTTTCTTGACTGTTGGGAAACACTGGTGGAAAGAATCCTGGATGGACTAGAGTCTTCATAGTTCAGGACATCTGTTTCAATCTCCCACCTTTTTTGCACAGGAAACAGCATTTTCTGTGCAGGAAAACAAAATGTAAATAGTATTCAAACACTGCACAAATAGTATTCAAAGACTTTCAGCGGAAAGAAAATCACTAGAATTTCTCATTCCTTCCCTTGAGGATGAAATTAGCAAAAAATTGCATCCCTAGGATATAGCCACTACATTTAGTATCTGCTAGCAGCCTTATTCTTTATGAATTTGTCTACTATAATTCCTTTTTAAGGTCATCTAGTTTGGTGGCCATCACTACTACTTCTGTTAACTATCATAATATAATTAATTTTGTGGCAAACTGTGGGCAGTCGCATCCCTAGGTTTGGTGTCACACACCCCCATTGACTTCCTCTCATTTCACACCATGCAGAATCCTTAGGCCAACATCACTTCTGAAAAAAAAAAAGACA